GACATTCAGCCAGTACTCACTGGTACTGAGTACCAGAACTTATTTTTTAAGGTGGTAATAGTACCAAAACTTATTTGAGCTGGATTGTTGGTTTTTGTGTTTACAATTTTTTTTTTTTCAAAAACAGGTCCACTTCACCCAGCTGAGTACCTCTACTTGTTTTTTGAGAATTTCATCTTTGGTTGCAACCATCATGATTTATTTTTCAGCAATTCATCCCATGTGAGAGGCTTCTCTAAGCACTCTTACAGTCCCGAATTGAATAACACTACTAAATTATTTGAACCAGTCCAAATATACAAATGAAACAGAGATTGGAAACTGTTGATTAGAACAAGGGGTGGTAATAAAGAACAGTAGACATAAATACAATTCCAGAAATTTAATGGGATCAGAATAAAGAAGTACTGAGAGAAAACATATACACAAAATGCAAAAATATGACCAATACTAATGGTCATAAAAGAACAAGTAGTCATTGTAACTTCAATCTCAGATGTAATATGTGGCAAGGAGGATTAAGACATAGTTACTGTAGAATTCCTAATGACATCTTAATCTCTCTTATCACCAAGTTTAATGAAGCCTTAAAACTGATTTCATGTAACTACAACCTGAAGAATGCAAAGTTCTATAAGCATAAAAATAATAGTTTAAAAAAATATGTAAGTAGCTTTTAACTACAGTGGAGACTAAAGTTAATGAGTAGAGGGTTTAAAGTATTTTTGAATTTTTCAATTACTTAACTACTGTGCTTTCTGCTGTAGACAAAGCTGTTAATGTTTCAACTTAAACTTCAAAGCATTGTTAATGAACTGTTTATATCAAACACATTTAATGTTATCATTTCTGTTACTTCCATTTTTCTTTTATACAAACAGAAAAAAATAGTGGAATAAGGTCCACAAATTACTCTTTCACAAACTAACCATTTCATTAGCTTCTACCTCATTAATACATCACGTTACAATACTTTTCTGGATAATTATTATCAAAGTACCAGAATTATGATGATTTAAATTAAACTATGCAGGATATCTTAATCTTAAGAGGATATTTAAGAAATATTTGAGTAAAACAACTGTCAAAAAAGTACTGCTATGCATGTGTATTTATATGTTTATTACATGCTTTATAATCTTAAGTGAATTCAATGTCCCTAGAAAGTTTACAATTCATTAGAAATATACTAAAAGATCTAGTAAAACAATTCAGTCTAGATATGTGGTTTCTACAGTTACATAAAGGTTTTGTGTGTCACAGTCTTTAGCTACTATTACAACACCTTAAATTATTATTGTTAGAAGGCAAAGTGCATTAAGCTCTAGGAATTAATCATTACTAACAGAGGAAATCTTTATTTTTTTTGATCAAACCTAGTATTATAAAGACGAGGAAAAACTACAAATGAAATAAAGCTTAAAATGATGCCAAAATGTTTTTACATGAGACATTTACTTCCTTGTACTCAGAAAAATACTGCAGCTTGGAAAAGTACGTGAGTATAAGTAAAATGTTAATATCATATACAAACTGGAAGAAATAAACTTATTATAATATCTATCAAATTTAGCAAAACCTCTACAAAGTTCATTATAAATTTCAACTCCTAAAGAAATAATTACTTTAATGTGATCAGGATCAATGTTCTTAGGTACAGTTGAAAATATGGCAACTATAAATTTTATATTTGTTAATAAAGACAAAAAATTGTTATGTAAAAACAACCACACTCATATTTAGAGCTGTGTCATTAACTCAATAAATTGACATAATCAATTATCTATGAGCATCAATTACATTGAATGATGTCACATAAAATAACTGATTAATCAAAATTACAATTAAAGTGATTAATGTCATACAAATAATCAACTGATCAAAATTAGTGTTTTTTATTATTACTGTTTTCAATTATCAAAATATTCAAAATATTATCATTATAATTTCTCATTATTTTTGATTAATTCAAGTTGGTTCAGCTTAATCAACCAGTGTCACAATTCATGAAAATAATCTACTTATTGAAATTAGTGTTTCCAATTATTACTATTTTTAATTATTTCAACTATCCAAACATCATGTGAGAATAAATTATCAATAAGTCCAACGATTAATTGATTATGAAATTCAACTTACCACTCACCTTTTTTCATATCATAGCCATAACCCTTTAAATCTACTACTGTAAAATACTGCTACATCTATTATAGGTACATGTATTGTATTTTAATTGTCTTTAATTCACTATACCAATCCTATATCTATGTAGGATTTGAAAAATATGCAGTACTAATTTAGGGTTACTGATCACAAGTGGTGAATCAAATAATAGATGGGGTTTCGTATATATTTTTAATATCTGGTATAGATGTTACAAGGAAAATTTTAGTTGTCATGAAGAATAAAATTCTGTAAATACACTAAAAACATTCACAATTAATGTGTTAAGTGTTAAGTAAACAAAAAATAAGTTTTTTATTTATTTATAATAACTGTGGTTAAAAAAAGCAACACAACAGCATATCATGACTAAATGTTTTTTCTGAATAGCTTGTTTTCTTAAAAGTCTGAAGGGTTTAAAAATAGTTTTTAATACATGAATGTTAAGTAAGAGATAACAATAAATATTGCTTTTTGTGTTTCTGTGTGTATGGTAAAGTAAAAATAAAACATTAGAATGAAAACACATGTAAACAAAAAAAGGCTAAAAAAAATGCACTTTATATAATTTAAACCAATTCATCTTAAGGAACTCAAATCCTAAATTTCTATAGAAAAATAAAGTACAGGCACAGCAAAATATCTGTTCCACAAAAATGGTACAGAACTCCATCTTTTAGAATTATTAAAATTATCTACCAAGAAGCTCTGTAATGCTATTTTTTTTAATTGTAGGTTGATTTAACTGGAACATTGCATATTTCCAAGAAATGTTAACACATTCCACATAGTTGTCCTCAATTATACAGTTAAAACACACTTATCCTCTTCAGTTTTACCTCTCTAGTTCCATTTACTTCAAATATACTAGCAAACATCTTTTCTTTTCTATCTACTTTTACTAAAAATGCTGATAACTAAATACATCTAACCAGGACTGCTAATAACGACAGTTACAACATTCCCAGATACTGTAATTGAAAACATTTATAACAAAGTAGCAAAAAGCACAGACCTATTATAAACAATTGATAAAGAAATTGGTATGCACCTGTCATAAACAACTATGAACAGTGTTGATATGTTCAAATTATACCAAAAAATATATATCCAAATTTAAAAAATTTAATTGTCTTCTACTTTTATTGCAGTACTAACTTTGATTGTGTTTATATTAGTCACAATTACAGATCACCACCTAAGTTTTACTGATACTTATTACAGCTCTGGCCCTGGGTTCAAGCCTTGAAAGAGATAGATGCAGATACCTCTACTATCCTGATTTTGTGACACTAAATGTTTCTCAACATTTAGGCTGATAAATGCAAACCTTTAATGATTTTATAAAATACTTATGTAAGTTATGTTAAAGTAATTAAATTTTAAAACAAAAAAAAAGGAATTGCAATATTATAGGAAGAACATCTTGTATACTTTCACTGCTTTCATGTGCAAACATTACACTTTTACATTTTCATTGTGCATCTACTTAGACAATGATGTTAATAATATAAAAATTAGACTGTGAAGCACCTGCTTCACATCCTCAAAAAAAACAAACTTTAAGTTAAAAGTTTTACAAATCCATTGACTCTGTGTGTAAATACATAGTAATAGTATGACATTTCACAGCATTCAAATTCGATGACAAGGAATCCACTTTGAGACTAATAATGCTTGGAGATGGCTTGAAAAGTTCTGACAGTTCTGTTTATTCTGTGCAAGTATGTGTGTCACATCCTCACAAGATTACCTGTACAGTAATAATATGAAATATTTTAATATTTTTTAAACCTCAAGTCCAAGAATTTTATTTTATCATACCTTATTATATGTGATACATGCAGTTAAAAATTATTTATTTTGTCTGCTTAAGTTATTGTAAGTTAATATTGTATTTATTCAAACATTTAATATAATCTATTATTAAACACAATATTAGCCAATGCTGTACATTTGATGTTATGTTAAACTTATATTAAAGTTTTTCTTCATTACCAAATAAAATTCCCTCAGACTGCGAGGTTTACCTGTTAATGTTACTCACTTACTGTTACTTGTTACAACACAGAATTAGTATTATTAATATATTAGTAATATTTCATGTACATGCCCAGTGTACATTAACTATGAGACACTAGTAATTAGTACTTCTGCACCTGTACCCAGTGATGGAAATGGAGGTACATGCAGTGTACCAAGTTCACAGTTTGTATTATTTTTCCCATTGGTCTAGTTTAGTATTACTGAAGATGTTTATTAATCCTATCATTATGGGTCAAAGGCCATGTCATTGTGTTTGTTGACTTGCATTCAAAATTTTATTGGACTACTATTTTATGAATTTATATCAATAAGTTTGGTATCAAATTGTAGATTATAATTCAAATGTTTGTAAAATTCATTAGTTAATTTCTTAATTTAAAAGTAAACATTAAAAGAACACACCTAAATATTGATTTTTGGGTGTCACATGGAATGTTGAATGCAGCATTGGTTCAAATTATATGTTTGTGATGTCCAAATACAGAGTTTAAAGTTTCTTATGAATTAGGAACTCAAATTATTGATATTGAAAAACTTGAATATAAAATACAAACCTCCTATCTTTTCTATTTGCCTTTTTATACCTATCATCCCACTGCTCCGTCTAAGCGTGTACCTAGTTCCTAAAACCCATTTCCTTTCTTGCCTGTACCACTGCTACTGCCAGTACTAGTAGAAGTACTACTGCTATTCTAGCAGTTTAATTTTTTATGATACAAATATGAAATAACATAGTCGATAAATAAATTAAAAATTATATGTTTTAATAAGATATAAATAAGAAAACCTACCTTACAAAAACATCGTTCTCCTGGGCCATGTGAAATTTCCGAGTTTCGGTTAGTTAAAAAATTACTTCCGTAATAACTATTGTCGTTACAATAGGCAGGAATGACATATAGGGTTATACTTATAAACACTATGTATTTCCATGTCAACGAAAATACAATCTGAATATTAAATACTGATGTTCCCATCGGTAGGTTGTAACTTAAAACTGGGAGCTTGCGCTCTATAATTATAGGTTTAAACTTTTAAACCTATATATTCTACACTAGCACTGAAATAACGTAAAACGTTACTGTGATTTAGCCCGATTAGGTCTGTGGAGTTTAATTTAAATTTAAAAGGAAGTTGATTTTTTCTATTTGGATTTACTTCGATCCTTGTAAAATTGTAATACTAATACTTCTACTAACGTACTACAAGTATCAGTCGTAGCCTCATATGACGTCAGTACTTAGTGATTAAATATATTACAAGTTATATTCGTTCAGTTTGGATACGGTTTTTCTGATATTCGTAAAAATTAAAGCAGGTATTAATTATATAAATATAATCTTGCATATAATATGCTAATAATAAATTATTTATCCAAACCTAGCATAATAAGAATGACTATTGACTCATACTCCTTGGTCCTTGCCGAGATATTCAAGCGCATGCGTTCTATCCTACTTTGAAAGAAGAAAAATTTTACTTCAGGTGTACAAGTAAATAAATCATGCAGTCTAGGTAAGAGCACCAGTTAGCTATTTTACTAAATACTTGTTAATACTAAACTATTTCAAATTTATTTGGAAAAATAATGGTTATCCATTCTTCAGTAAAAAGACAGTAAAAATTGTTATTCATCGGGAGTAGATAGGTAAAAAGCGGAAGTGCGTACACAAATCCTGAGAGAATCGAAGCAATCATGTTTCAAAGAAGGTATGTAGTGTGACACGTGTAAAAGGGTCATGTCAGAGTGGTGCAAGAAAGCAAAGGAGGACAGTTGAGTTAGCTATATGGGGTAGTATCCTATATTAATTCACGTTTTGTGTTGTGAATATATTTGTTTGCCTGCGAACTCTTCCCACAGTTTTGGAGCTAGCAGGACCGGACTAAGTAGGTGGACTTGTGGTATTCCGGGAGTTGTTTGTTTATTCATTGAATTTCTCACAAGTTAATCGAGGGCTATCTGCACTAGCTGTCCCTAATTTTGAAGTGATAAACAACAAGTAGGGCAGCTAGTCAAAACCACCCACCGCCAACTGTTGGGCCACTCTTTATCAACGAATAGCGTTATAATACGAGCACTTACGGCTAAAAGAATGAGTATGTTCGTTGACGGTTTTCATACCCCTCTCACAAGCTATGTCAATGTAAAATGGGATCAAACTTGACATGCGTGTTCAGGTACCATGAGCGCGTGTTCTAAGGGGTACGGACCCCACTTGTGGTAGTTATAAAATTAATTGGAATAATAAAGTAGCCCCAAAATAGTTGAGCGTTAAATCTGAAGACTTATAACACTAAAACCAAGGTTTCCATTCTAACCCATTATAAGCCCATTGTGTAACATTGTGCATGCTTAACACAAAACAACAACAGGAAACAGGAATAATGTCGAGTTTATCTGCTAGGGGACTAAAATATCACACCATTTCCGTTATTGGAGGTAGTGGACCCGACACTTTGTTAATACTTTAGCAGAAAGTTAAAAAAGAGTTGATACCATTAGGGAAGGAAAATAAGTGAAATACAGAGAAACAAAGACAATTGATTCTTACATTTCATAATACAGTAATTATAAAAAAATCACTACTTTATAATGTCGTTTTATCAAGAACTCGATCAAGAAAAAATTCCAAGATCTTATTCAAAGAAACCAATTATCTGGAAAGAAAAGGTGCTTATACAAAAAAAAAAAAAATTGTGTGCAGAGATAACGGAAAGTGTGCTAGCACTCTCTATATAGGGATGGCACTGGATGCCCGTATTAAAGCTATGCAAAAGTCATCTGGAGTTTCTTCTCTACATGTCATCAGAAACTAGATATTGTTACGTCTCCGTTTGTTAATTAACTTTCCATAACTTCGTTCCGACGAAACTTTAACGACA